TTTGTTCCACCACTGCATTATCCAATCCCACTGAGGATGGTCCAGAGAGGGCAGGTAAGATCCCTGGGTTTGCACAGTCCCCATCTTTTCCACAACACAGGCACCTTACCTCCAGGTGCACACTTCCACAGCACAGCATTGCATCAGACGAGCCAAACACATGGGGAGCGCTCAGCGTATTGACACAGATAAGCAGAGGTTGGTGGAGGGAGAGGCAGAAAAGCAAGCAGAGGCAAACCTGTTCTTTGGGGCTGTCCCACTGCCACCCGCACAAACGTGGCAGGGTTCCTGCCACACTAATGCTGATGTCCTCGGCGGCCTGCACCCTGCAGTTTGGATTTCTGTTAGCTAAGGACATGTGATGCCAAATAAACACTTATAAAATTGACTTGCCTGATTTTTAGAGAGAGATTCATAGTTGTGAAGAGATGATACCACAATCACATGTATGAAGGTTTCAGTACATCCACAGCAGAAGAACTGAAACCATTTGTGCTTAAAATACATTACACGTGTGCTTTGGCTGCAAAACACTTACTTAGAAAACATTAAAGTTCTGATTTAATGAACTGGAGAGTCAGAAAACCAGAGTGCCAGCCTTTTTGCTAATGATCCATTTCCCCAGCTGTTCAATGGCAGTGTGCCGAAATAGGGAGTTTCAACAACAGGAGAGCACAGGAGAGAAGGAAACAGGCAAACGGAGGGACTTAGGCTGAGATCGGGTAGGGAATGCTTAAGGCATGCTTAGCTTTGTTAGGGACAATTATTTTCTATGGTACTTTCAGAAGGATGAAAAGACAGTCTGGATGGAAACAGGGAAAAGCCAGTGGGGACAGCCAGCCTGCCAAATTTATTTTGAGAAAACAAAGAGAAAAGGGAAGTGAGTGCATATCTGGAGGGACAGCAGGTAGTAACAGGTAGGAGGTATTAGAGCAGGTAGTAACAATTAAAAATAATTATGGAGTGCAACGCCAAGATGTGTTCACTTCAACTTCAGCACCCGATGACTGCAGTCACTCGTGGTGTGTGGCAGGAACCACGTGGTAAGAATCACAACTTCTAGAAATTATATTGAACACTTTGGCCTCCTATTTTCACCTTACTCCCCAAACTAGCTTTTATTCATTTTGATTTGCAACAGGTTTCCTGGAAAGCCAGAAGCACATTGTTGCTGGGACAATTGCCCACCACTACTTACGCTTTTTAATTCTCTTTATTAAAATCTTTCTTTTTAGGAAACACAAATTGCAATCAGTTACACAGATCAGTTAATATTGATGACAGTTCCTACATAATTAAACAAGTACTAACAAATTCCAACTGTTTACAAGCCAAAACTTAAATTAACAAGATTATATAAGCTCAATAAATAATACATCTGGTCCAGTTCAAGTATAATTCAACAAATCACAGCCTTAATCCTTAGAGAATAGAAAAACCCTGAATATAACCAGCCTAACACTAATTTAGTGTTAAAGCCAATGTGAAACTTCGTCTAATCTTATGGGGCAAATGTTTAATTGTTTTATTTTATACTTCAAGGAAAGTAAGTTGCAGATTGACATTAAAGACTACTTGAGATCAATACAGATTTCACAGAGATGAAAAGCACAGTCCCTATTCAAAAAGTGCAATCTTTGGTTAAGATGTGTTGAAATGGTTTGTATATATTAAGGAAGCTCTTTTTTGTTTTTTTAAATATCAATATATTTTTGGCTAGACCTGAGCCTGCTTTGTGCTATATATATAAAATGTGTATATATATATATGTATGTATGTATTAATTAACAGCGTGGATTATAGTGATAATGAATTCTGCCGACAAAATGTAAAAATTTAAAATATAACAAACAAACAAAAAAACACGCTTTTACATAAGCTGAGAAAGGCAAGCAACTGCCTACAGTGGCTTTCTTCCTCAGCAGAATAGGTAGTAGAAATTGAGGAGCTGAGTGCCTATCAGCATTGCATGATGGCCTGTTGGGGAGGGAAGGAGATTGTCTCTGAGATCTCAAAGTGAATCGGGCTGAAAAGTGATCGTAGGGATCAGTAGGAGTTAATTGAGACTAGAGATTGCTTTAAAGTGTTGAGTTCTAGGGTGAGAAAGCAGCTCCTCAGAAAGAAAACTGTCCCTATGGCTGTACCTAAGATGTTACAGATTGCTGTTTGTGTGGGACGATGCTCAGAGGAATGGGGCCACCAAACCATCTCTATAAATGTCTGGTTAGGTCACATCTGTGGGGCTGGGCATGGCTCCTGCATCTCTCACTTGAGACATTTCCAGGAGAGGAAACTAAGTAGGGTAGAGATGCCACACGGAGTGGACTCCTTCTACTTCCTTCAGCTGCGAAACAGTGGCCTGGGCCCTGACCCAAACAAAGGACCTGGAGCCATGACAGGCCCTTGGTGATCCTTGGTCAGGCCTCCTGCTCCTGGAGCTCTAGATGGAGACCAAAACTTAAATGAGCACATCTTCATAAAGGACTGAAACATACTGAAGTCTGCTTCAGTATCAAGAAGGAATTCTGCATATCTAATGCAACCAGACAGGAAAAAGAAGGTTAAATATGCAAGCTATGAATAATGAGAGTGATCCTGATTAAGAATTTGAGGAGGGGTGAAAAATAACCTCATGGGCAAGCCCTCCCTTTAGTAATTCTGCTGCTGCCAGTCAAAATCTCATTGCTTGCCTATTGCTTTCCCTGCCTGCCTGTATCCACCTGTTGTCTGTTTTCTGAAAGTTTAAAGCTCCTTGGCCTGGGAAAGTCTTTGTTGTGGATTTGTGTCATGCCTATAATAAAGGCAGTGGACCTGTAGCTTCTGCTGCAATACAAATAAAGAATAATAACAGTGATACTTTTCTCATTTGAGGTTACCTGGGGATAAAGTTGCTGGAGGCATATGACTTTGATATACAGTCAGCTGTGTCTCACATCCAATTAAACTTAACCACATGGTCTAACAAGCTGCCATTAGGGCAGTGAGAGCCCCAGCTTGAGAGCAGGGTTAGCTTCAAAAATCTAATGCTTGCACTGGAGTGACTTCCTTCCCTCGTACCCAGATTGTGCTGAAGGGCATCAGGGGAGCTTCACATTCAGATGATACACGACCAGCCTGAGAGCTGCGCTTTAGAAGATGGTTGCACAATCTCTGCTGCCATTTTTGTAATCTTATAGCTTGCAATATAAGCTCTTGCCCTAACAGCTCTGTGCTCAAATTTCACTGCTATGTGAAAAACAAACAGCCAAAGGAAAGCCCAACCTTTGAAGGAAAAATTCTTTGTTTGCATTTTTTTCCCTTTTATTTATTTATTTATTTTACTTAGGGGAAAACAAAGGCTGTTTTAAATGACAGATGGACCCAAATCTTAAAAATACTTCAAGTGTGGATAAAGAAGGATTTATGCTGCAATGTTTTTCATTTCCCCTTGTCTTTTGGATAGGCCACATCTGAATCTGGGATGCAAAGAATCCCTCAACTTGTAACAGGAATTCCAAATATGAAATCTGAACCCACCTCTGGTAAAACGAGTGGAAAGCACAGGCCATGAAATGGAAGAGGGCTTCAGGCAACAACGCCAGACACCTCTAAGACACGCTGCCTGGCCACAGGATACTGCAGAGAACAAGCATGACTGCTGGCACAAGAAATAATGGAACGAATACTTTGGTGGAAGCGGTTTTGGCATTTCAGTCACTCTGTAATAGTTTGCAATGTCCATGTCATTCTCAGCGATGACGGGAACCTTCTGGGAAACTATTTCCACTTACAACATCTAAACAGGACATCTTGCACCAGCAGTTTTTACAGAACATACTCTGATCAGTATGAGAGTCAGGCAAAGAACAGAAACACGTCTGCAATTCCACATCTGCCTAGATTACGTGGTGCACTTTATAAAAGCATAACTCTGGGATCAATTCTGGCAACGGTTTGCATACGCATTCACTATACAACACAAAGCCCCATTGAAATGAACCAGAAACTCATACAGTGCATTTCAAAGGGACTGAGCAAAATACTAAGTAACAACTGCACAGAAACAATAGCTCGTAATAATGCCAGAGCTGCTGGTGCATCCTGTGTTCATCCTGTGAGCCATGAGTTGTGACATTCACCTTAAAAAACATAAAATACGAAAACAATATTAAAAGTCTGGCATCCTTCCATGAAAACCAGGAAAATTCAACATTGCCAAGCCAAGGAAAAGCAGCTCTGAGAAGAAAACAGAAAGACTCCAAAAGCAAGAGTCTCAAGTAAAATGTCTAAAAGCAACATGGTCCAAACACATGGCACTTTAAAAAGCTTCCCATGAAAGTTTCAAGTCTGTAAGATTCAAAGTTGGCACTCTTTAGATTCGTCAAAGAGAAGAGTTTTAAAAAGAACAGTAGCTGGAGAACACCCTGATCACGCCATAGAAAATGCTGAGATCCAGAGCTGCCAGCACGTGTGTTTGAATTGCTCTCGCTGTGCTGGGCTCAGGCTATAAGGTCCCTGGGCAGAGACTGTGGCTCCCTCTGCATTCATACAACACTGTCAGTGCTTAACAACACAAATATCTATCATTTCAGCCAGCTTCAAGATGCATGGAGATGGATGCTGGTGGGGTTTACACGATGCCATCTACAGATTAGTTTTAGCACAATGGCTTTAGATGTCCTATGCAAATCCTACTCACTAATCCTACTCACTGGGGGTAATGAGCAAAATGACTGCAGACACTTTAAGCAACATTAAAGCCTATTTATAGTCACATCTCCTTTCCTTCCAGCGTCCACTGGAGGATGCTGAGTGCTTTTAAATACTCTGCCTGACCTGATGTGTCACATCAGAATTAAAACCTGAAGAATCCCTGAGAATTCTGATTTAATCTAGGAAACCACTCCCAACGTGCAGAGTGTGAGAAAGAATTGCTCCACTTGGTACAGATATGCCAGCTTTGCTTCTCCGTGGGAAACAGTTTCAGGCATTTTGGTTTTTAATGGCACTCTGGGCATAGGTGCATGGAAGATGCTCTTTATTTCCCCTCCTCTGTACAGTGCAAATTGACAGTTATGTCAGAGAAAATAAAATTAAAAAATATATCAGCATTCACTCATTATGGCTCTTCCAGCTCATACGCATCATATTTTTTTCTTTGTGAAGTGAGGAACGATTCCAGCATCATCCTGAAGCAGGTGGCTGTCTTCTTCCTTCATTTTCAGGCTCTCTTCTGCAAGCTGGGACAGATATTTCTGCAATCACAACAAAAACAAACCATCTCTATTAAAACTGAAAATACTCAAAGCAGAATGCTTTGCTCCTTTTCAGAGGCTCTTACACAATCCCAGCACCTCAGAATGGAAGAATATGCATAGAACCTCCTCCTGGTCAAAATTCAAGCCAGGTAGAATGCTTAATCCATGGAGTTGAACGTTCTGTTGTTTACTCTTGTGCCACAAGGGGAATTGCTGTCAGAATCAGAAAGATCACAACTCCCCATCAGTCTGTGTAACAAGACCTCACTTCTCTTTGCAAGAAAACTCACAGCTCCTGTAAGATACAGCATAGGAACTAACCCCACTCAGTCAACTAAATTATACCAGGGTAAGACTGCTGTGTCAGAAAGTAGATACAGATTCTGAGTCATAATTTAAAGCATATATATTTCATTTTCAGCACTTCCAGTTCAGACATGTATCTTGTGCACAAGAATATTCATATTAAGAGACAAATCAAACTCAATAATAAGTAACACTAGCACTCTGGCTAGAGTATTTGTGTGTATTCTACTCTAAGAAAAAGCATTTCAGCGTGATTTGAAAATACAGACGTGGCCAGTGAGGCTTCCAATCTTCTGAAAACACTGTTAGTAGGAATGGAGGGTAAACAATTGAATGTAGGTTGGAAAATGGTGCTCAAAGTATTTATTCATGGTCAACACATTTAGAAATAGATGGAAAGAAGCTTCTTCATCAGCAGCTAGTCTACACAGATACCCACACAGTAACGTAGAGGTGGTCTAACATACTAACATTAACTAGTTGCAGGATTCCTACAGGCTAGAGGTTGACCTCCTCTTTGACCTCCAGAGTTCGACCTCCTTGGCCTCCATGAGGAACAGGAGGAATGGGAAATGAATATAAAGAAATGAGGGGCTATGTTCTGACTGCCCGGCTGTCTCACAGAAATACAAGTTGTGGGTGTAAAAGGTACATCTGAAACAGACTCAGTAAATGTAAGAGTAGGTGTAACTGCGAGAAAATGATGACTGCACCCCCATTAACCTGATTTGGGAGTAGAAATTACACAACTCTTGATTGTGGCTCCCAGGTACAAAATTCCATGTGGCAGAAGGCCAACATTACAGGAATATAGAGATACAGAATCCATGAAGATTACAAGTGGTCTGTACATCATGTAACAAATCCCTAACACTTGCTGGATCAAACAACCCACACGTGTCTGGGTTTTAACCATTACCCACCAAAATAAGACTGAGGCTTATCCATCACCTTTAGCTGATGTTAATGTCAGCTGTCACCAGTTTTGAAGTTCACACATCAGACATTCACGTTCATTTATAGGAAAATGAAAGTCTAGGAAAAAAATATTTTTTTTCCTTTAAATACAACTTTTGATTAATGTTGTATAAAGGTAGGGGTAAACAGGATAAAGTGCTGCACTGAATTGCCAAAGGTAGCTTACACCAGATGAATCTGTCAGCTTAGTGTGATAGGTAAGAAGGTTAGGCCAAATAATAGATCTTTTGGACATGGAAAAAAAAGTGTGCAAGGCTAACAAGAAAAAGCTGAAATTTGTTCACTGGTTGCTGTTCTTCAAGGGCAAGACAGAGAGAAGAAGAGGTAAAGGTGACTCATTTACTCAACAACTAAGTGAAGTTTTTGGAAGAAAAAAACAAGACTGTTCGGTTTTGTGTTAAAATCCAAACACTGAATACATATTCTGGATGTGGCTCCAAGAGGGTTGTGCAAAAGATATGTGGGAAATCAACTGGAAAAAACTCATATTCATGAAAGCATGGGACAGCGATGCTGGCATCAGACAGTGGCATTTGTCACATGGGCAAGACAACAGAATGACAGCCTGTAGAGCAGACCCATAGCTTCACATACAGCTAGAGTCCACAGTTCTTATGTTGCTGAATACACTCATTACATTGCACCACCCTAAAAGATTGATGTTTCTTGCAAAGTACATAATTAATATGGATCTAGAAATACAAAGAAAAAACTTGCTGAACTTCCATTTGAGTAGGCAAAAGTTGGATGGTTATTTATCAGGTGTATACTTCCTCCATTTAAGAAGATAAGGCTCTACAGAACATTATGTTTTCATTGCCATATTTGACAGATTTAATTTTAACAGCTTTTGCCGTCTTTGTGCTTTTATCTCAAATCAGTGTTACATATCTACTACAGTATTCCTGGGAAATGGATCATGGGAGAAAAAGATTTTTTTCCACACTCTCCTAATTTTATTTGGACTTTTTTTTTTCTATGACTTTAACAAAATAACTTAGAAAGTGAGAACTGCCTCTTCTTCCCATAGGACTGGTTACATGGGGCTGGAGTTGCAACCTTTGCTTAAGCAAAGTTTCTTTGGGACACACCTGCTGAGTACTGAGTGGTGCTACCTCTGGTCAATTTCTCTGGATTTTCGTGAAAGAAGCAAAACAAGATATGTGGACTGGGCGCCTGCTCTTTAGATTACACTGACAGGAACCATCATTAGCAAGGACAGCAGCTCTGCAGGCAGAGTCTCGGACAGTCAGAGGCCTGAAAAGAAAATTCTTCCAGAGAAACCACGTGTCTCATTAAAAAAACTATTTTCAGAAAGGCTGGTGCCTACTAGCCAGCTAGGGAAAAATGGCTATTACCTGAAGAAAAGCAGGGCTCCAGCATTTGCTATGGGCAGAGGGAAGGAACAGAGAAAGAAAGGACAGTCATATTCTTTCACGCCTTTTTTTTATGAGCATGTGAATCCCAATAAAAGTGTCTAATAAGAACTCTGAGCTGTCTCAAAGCATCCTAAATAAAAGTGTCTTCTGCAGGGCACACACCCTACACATGGGCACGGTCTCAAGGAGATGTGATGCAAGGCTGGCTCCTCCAGCGAGTCCTTAGCATTAGGCATGATGCTTGTGCTGTCATGACTGATACTATCAACTGTACGTCTGAAAAGTGATAAAGGCAGGAAATTTTATTTAAAGGCAAGTGCCCGTGGTCTCTTCATGCTATTATCAAGGGCTGGTGGTATGCACCTATGGAAACCACACAAGTGATTACGTGCCTCTGCATATCCTTACAGAAATTATTCAGTGGTGGTGTTCTCTGTGGCTGAACTGCCATGCTGTTCTGCAGCACAGGGAGGTGATTTCAGCAGGTCACAGCAGGAGAGCCTGTGCATCAGAGTACTGCGTGCCGAAACACGCTGCAGGAGTTTATGCTCATACAAAGCAAGAATGGCAAAGTTATTAAACAGTGGCATGTTCTTCTCCTGAAACTCAGAAATAATAAAGGCTGCTGCTGGGCTCACTCCCAACAACACAAACATCTGGGACCCTTAACAATGGCTAATTAAAGGTCTGAGTTGCTTGCTGAGCTGGTGACAAGGATCCAGTCTGTATGAGAAGATACAATTACCAGCTGGCCCCCTTTTACTTATGATCCATAAGCAGGGACCTGGCAGTCAAAAATTAGGGTGTTAAAATTTGGAACTACTGAAAAGTTTTGTTTACTTAAATTTCACTTTGAATTCTATCCATGGCACAAAAACTGATTTTTGCTAGCATCTCTATCTTATACCCAGTCCACCCCAAAATCTAGTTATTGGCTATTTTCACGTGTGCTTTTACCTGAAGATTTTTGTAGTGGACAGTACTTCTGCAGTGATTTGTCTTTGCTGTCTCTTCATTCGTGTAGAAGAGCCCACAGAGCTTGCAGTAAAACCCAGTTCTAGGCACCACGAATTCCACGCCTATTGAGAAATTCAACATGTCAGTTAAAAACCTTCCCCTCCAAAACAAGCTAGTTAAATGGCATAGATATGAAGACTGATCCTGGATTCATAGAATGGCTTAGGTTGAAAGCTATCTTAAATATCACCAAACTCCAACGCTGTGCCATGGGCAGGGCAGCCAGGTGCCCATGGCCCCATCCTGCCTGGCTCTGAACTCCTGAGCTGCAGTATAAAATCCTGTGCATTGCAAATACACCTTGTGCTTCTCTGGCAGATATCAAACACACGGACCTTCTCTCACATAATATTGACCAGAAATCTCACTGTGTAACCTCAAGGACCAGAACAGCTATTGTAGTTAATAGCAGCAAATTCACACTGACATCATGCAAATTACTCTTAGAAGATGCACTCTCCCAAGCGTTTTACTTATGATCATTGTTTACACAGTAAAGCAATACTTTTTGTAATACTGAGAATGTAATCAACACTTTTATGACAGGCACTTTTTAAAATTACTAAGTATTTTTCATACCATATGCCTTAAGAGTTCAACTCTCTAATTCCTAGAGAATTTCCTGGATGATCTTTCTGCCCTCAAGATCCCTTGACTTTGATCAGAGTTTCTATCACAGCCTCACCAGGTCCTTTATGAATGCAATGTGCCTATGGGGGGGACACAAGGCTAAACCACTCTAGTTTACTCTTCTTTCTGATTACTGCAGAGATTCCTTGCATCAGGCTCAGGTTCGAGACAAAGAAGCCCAAGGGAACTGATTTCATCAGTGACATTAACATCTTTTGCTATTTATCTGGAAAGAAATCGGCAAAGGTCTACAATGAAAAGCTTGCTTCTTTCAACAGCTCCCTTTCTGTCTATGCGCTGCTCCCTCACTCTCCTCACGTCTGTTCTGAGAAATAAATCTAGCAAGTAGCCTTAAAGTGACATCTTGTTGTAAGCTCTAGGAATTGCAGTGGCCTGAATGTCCCGACGTACCCAGGGGAATGCTGAGTTCAGTGAAGACATCTTCTTGTTCCCAGCCTGCCGGAGAGTGCCTCCTCCTAGACTCTACTTCTGGGTATTCCAGAGATCTCATTTCCAGGTACCTAGAATTTGCTTAACAAATGAATAAATGTATTGAATGAAAACAGTTTATTAGTTTAAACAGACATCTGTAGAATTCTTAGAACATTTTCTCGGTGGAGCTATGAGTGAAGCTCTTCCATTCAAGCAAGATCCAACTCAGTGCTACTTCAATAGCTGACACAGTTAACCCTATTTCTTCCAGATTATTTTTCTATTTTTCACATCATGCTTGCTATGTGTTTTTTAAATTGAATATTCTAAATTCTAAACAGATCTATAATATTACACGTGCCTCCAGCCCAAGCACAGTTGAATTGCAGCCCCGTAGCCACCTATGGCATTGTGTGACGAGGGCTGGAGCTGGGCTGCATGTGGGCAGCAGCACTGGCTGCGAGCAGCTCCCCTACTGCAAACTCTCCCACAGCAGGACCCCATGGCACTGCTGCCATCTCCTTCCTGGAGCCACTCTTCTCCCATCCTCAGCTCCCCAAGGGATGGATTCTGCTTTATGGCTTTTGGCTATTGGAAGGTTTTGGCTTCTGGCCAGGAAGGAGAGGTTTGATTCCTACTGATCAACGTAAGTGGACTCAGACAAGACCTTTTTTTTTTTCTTATTTCACAGAGCAACAGAATTACTGATAAACTGGTATAATTCCCACTCTTCAATTCTTACATCAAGGAACCAGTTCCCTTAACCTAATGGAATTTCCACTGCATTGCAAATTTCACCTAGATAAGGGCTACATTTTCTTACAAAACAAATAAATTTCTGCCCCAACCAAACCCTTCCTGCCTTTCAAGTCTGCAGTTCAAGGTTCTGCAATTTCTGACTATGAAAATGAATTCTCCCTCATAATTGTAAATGTGTGTATCACATGATTTAAAAGAAAATAATTAAAAAAACCCTGACTGATTGGCTTTCAAGTTAACTTTTAAGACCATTCCAAGTTTCCAAATGTGCTGAAGACCTCCTGAAAAACTCAAGAGCTTCAGTTGGTTATTCTTAAAACACCCAGGGCCTTTCTGGCAACTTAAGTTTCACTTAGGTTGATTTCTGGGCTTTTGAGCTGGCAGCTGCATTTGCAGAAAGCCTAGAGCTTTGCACATCAGCTGCCACATCCATGGCAGACACATGGGACACATGCTCTCCTGGAGTTTCCAGGCTCCCTACTGGCAAGTTGAGATGCTGGAAACATCAAAAGCCTCTGTTACTGGAGCTCGATGCCTGTGAAGCAGGCAGCCAGGGGAGCCAAGCTTGCCATCTCCAGTTGCAGGGCATGGCATGGCAGATTATCTCCAAACACACAAAGCCTGGGAAGCTGTCTTCAGGCCAGAGGGCAAGTACTGAAAGGTGAAAAAGTTTCAGTTCTATTCAGGAGGGAAAACTTAGCTCAAGATCACATATCCACACCAAATGTTCTGCAAGAAAATGGTATTCATAAAACTTCCAGCAACTTCTGCTCACAAACCCCTCTCCAATATATGGGCTCCAGTAGCAATCAAAGAAGAGCATTCCTGACCTATATGGTTTATTTCATTTTCCACTTCCACTCCTTATGCACTACGCATTTGCTCAAATTTCATTTGAAAGCCTGACAAGGAACCAACCTCAATTTCAGACATTCAAGATCTCTTTTTTTTTTTTTTTTCCCCTGACAATAAAATATTAATAGACAGCTATGATTACATTTATTGGCACTATCTCACAGCATGTCTTATCAGATATATGAAAGGCAGCACGCAGTAGATAAGAGGAGATGATAAGGCAAGTCCTGACAAAAGGCATGCATTTGTATGAACAGGGACTAAGAAGCAACAATCTGCAGATGATTTCCATGTTACTAATGCCACAGTACAGTGTGTAAGAATACCCACCTTGTCCAGGAGCCAGCCAGACATTACAGATACTTTTCTGTTGACCTTCAGTGACTGTCACTCATTTCATTGACAATTCAAAATAAATTTAGCAGAGCACTGAAAGCGTTCAGTTAAACTCATGTGAACCTTGACATGACAATTATAGCAGCTTATGCCTTTCAGAAAGCTTGCAAGCTGCTTATCATATTTCATTTACACTATTCAGCTAAGAGCCTCTAATGGTTTAGCTTGGCAAAAGGCACCGGAGTTCTTTTACTGAGCTGCTCCAAGGACAAGTCTTGATACTATTAGCAACATTTACTCTTGTTAGCAATAAATTTCAGCCTACTGTCAGAGAAAACATGCAAGGCTCCCTGCAGGCCTAGAAGAAAAAAAACAGTAGTTACCCTCTGGACACTCCTGGTTTTCACGTCTTGCTTCTTCACTAACATTTTTAACAAGCATTTCCATAACTTCTCTGCTTTCAGCTCCTTGTGATCCCATCTGTTTGTAATCATCTATAAATGCATCAGGGAGCTGGAGAGACTCCTCTTTTAGCTGAACAGAAGGTGTATGCTGATCTTCAGGTTCTAAATGAGTGTCAGAGCCTTTATCATTTTTTACTTCCTTCTGCTGGTGGTCAGACTCCTTAGCAGACTGGTCTTGCGACTCCTCTGGCTTCTGCTCACGGTCCAGATTTAGGCTTGATGCTTCAGTTACAGCATCATCATTATCATCTTCCTCGTCATCCTGACAGATGCTAGAAGCTACACTGCCCTTTGCTGATCTGAAGTTTGTTTCTAAAGGTTTATGGGTAAATTTCTCTTCACTCCTGTTCAGGTGGCTATGATCATTTTCCAGTTCTAATATGGCTGTCATACAGGAACACATATCTGTAGCAGCTTTACTTTTTTGATCAACTGGTACAATTTCCTCAAGCTCAGTTATATCAGGCTCCATAATTAGGTCATCTTCTCCCACTTCATCTACTGTCACTAATTCCTCCATGTTAGCAGGATACCAGGTCTCGCCTTCTATCTCACTTCCACTCTCCCAGTCTTGGTCCTGTCACAAAGACGTAAAAAAAATGAGAGATCAGTGGCTTTGAACATCAGAAACCAGGAAAAATTTTGATCTGGCCCCTCTCGTGTTTTAGTTTCAATGGATGACATGTCTCGATACTATGATTTTAAACCTTATGCACACATGCAAGTAGTATTTTTATAATAATAATATGAACTTCACTTTTGGGAGCTTCTAAAGCTGCCTTGGAAATTGCAGTCTCTCCAGCCTCCCACTCCTTGCTTTTCTGTAAGCAGAACAATGCACAGCCTGTCATACACCTTATTACACGACTGACTCTGCTACGTGATCCCCAAGGAAACTAACCTCTCCCTCTCCTCTACTTCTGTTCCATAGCGATCAGAAATGGGAACCATAATGAGAATACACTGAACACCACTCTAGCCCCTGGCTTTGACTTTTCTGGATTGGATCCTTTAAATTCTTATGGTGACTGCGAAACTGCAGCTACCACCTGTAGCCATTTCTTTCCACCTGCAAGAGCCCTCTGCCAGAGACTGTGCTGGTAGAGACTGGCCTAGACCTTAAGAAAAATCAGTTTTACAGTTATACTCCAAGATTTATAATCTGATGTACTTCACATAGGAAATTAGAGACATGTAGGATGCTCAGATTCTAGTACTGGACTTGAGAAGTATCAGAATGTTAATGTACATGCTTCCTTTTCATACATAATTGGTGCAGTTTAGATTTCAGCTCTCAGAATCATTGTGAGCACATAATCTGTTAATAATCTGTATTCTCCTCCTGTTCAGCCATTTGCACACTTCCCTTCCTAGAATTCTAAAACAGCAAGAAAACTCTGGGAGTTGACACTGTTCTTGCCAGGAGATCAGTTTTCTACAGCAAGAGATATCAATAGCTTCCATATCTGATCATCAACCCATGACCCTACAGATATGAAGCTGGAGGAATTCCAAGGACACTGCTGTTCCCAACTGTGATGCTGCAGAAGGGCTGTTGTGAAAACACTATTTAATTAAAACCAGAAGCAATCAGAAGAGGCTACTATCTGTAGACCATCTGAAGCCAATGTTCTGAAAAGTTTTCATCATTAGTTCCCCCCCCCTTCTTCTCCACTAACTGACTGCATCTCCTATTTTTGGGCACGGTTCACAAAGTTACATGGTTCACTCAGGCATACATTACAGTTGTCAGTGCCAAGGGCTATGCATGCAAAGCAATGTACATTGGCAAAGAGCAACTAAAAAAAGAGTTCTGGAGATTTCGGGAAAAGGTCAAGATAAGGCAAGTTAAATTAGACATCTCCCTTCAGTTGCCCCTCTACACACCCTTCCAGAGATCAAACTTGGGTTTTCACTTATTTTATCATGGAAGCTGTACCAACTGTGTGCCACCAACCTTCTCTTTTCTTGCGTTTTCCAGAGTCTCTCCAGATTCTCCTCCTTGTTTATCAGCTGAAGATGAGCTCTTCTCTGGACCTTGCTCCTCTTTACCAAGCTAAAATAGATACAACATATACACATATAGCAATACACAGCGTCGCTCTATTATGCTTCTATTTTGGGTTTAGGGAAGCAAAGTCACTCACAAGGTCACATTCTTTATTTCTAACGATTATGCAAGTCAACTGGACTGTGGGAAAAGACCCCCAAAAAAAAAAAAGTGGAAAACTGGATTTCATTGGAAAAGCAGCACAAATTATAATGATGAAAAAGAAATTGAAACAAAACTAAAGACTTGTAATTTATATCACAGAGATGATAGAAGAGAGGCTAGAAGACAGGTGGAGAAGAATGTGAATTCATTAAAATTTCCAGCCTCCATTCCCTTGTTGGATGGGGCCCTGGGCAGCCTGGTTTAGCATTAAACGTGGAGGTTGGTGGCCCTGCATGTGGCAGGGGGGTTGCAGATTCATGATCCTTGAGGTCCCTTCCAACCCTGGCCATTCTGTGATTCTGTGATTCCCCTGCTCTTTACCCACGTCTGTTATTCTTGGCTCAGATATGGTAAAGAGACCAGCAGTGTTGAAACTCTACAGAAGACATTAAATGCTTTGCTTATTGATGCAGGATCAGCTGAGAATGTAACTACTTACACTGCTGATACCTTGGAAGAACAAAGCCACAATATTACCTGGCACTTATTAGAAGAGGAGTGGAGCATGAGTATGATGAATTCAAGAGCAGACAAACCTATTTCTGCCCTTTACAATATGTTATTAGCAGTAGCCCCTGGGGAGGTGTGCCTTTTACCAAGCCAGCTTAAAATGCCTTGAAAACATGCAGAGGGGTGTGCAAAACTGATGATTCAGGAAGCTGCCTGACCTTTCTTTAAGTGAAAGAAATCTCCCAAGGAACCATCTGTCACAGTGAAATATGGGCAACGGGAGAAAGATGACAAAAGGTGGTTCCAGAAGCACATTTCTATGGCATGAGCTAGTGCTGCTGCCTATTACAGAGGCTAGCTGAGTTACAAACTCAGATATGTCCTCCAACCTTGCCCCCACACAAGAAGAACAAATGCAGAGGTCAATTAAAACCAGACAAAGACTGCTCAAGCAGCACAAAGGCCATTCATTAGAGATGGACCCCTGGTCAGTGAGGCAGCTCTGCAGCCTCCTGCACTGCATCCCGGTGGGTGGTTGCAGGCCATGTAGCACTCAGGGGCTGGGGAAGGCAATGCAGTCACAAGCCAATAATCATAATCCTGTAGGGAGGGAATATAATCATGGGCTGTACTGGGACAAATGCCGTATCCTGATTTGTTGTTCCTGTCCACTCTTTCCTAGCAGAGAATTAAGCCCACAAACACCACCACTTCACTGACTGGGAGAATTTCTACAGAGATCCCATAACTTCACAGATGAGCTGATTCAGTGGTTCTACCATGGGAAGACACTCCTCCAGCACATCTGAAGTGAGCAATGTGAATTATCCCTGCTGAGATGACCTCACGTTTAATAGACGCCAATTGCTCTACTGAGCTGACCAAAAGAAAATGTTCCTTATTGAAAGTTCATTCCCCATTTTAGCAATATAACAACCTATAGCAATAGCAGCATAATTATATATATTGTGCATCCCTCTAAAATTCCTGGACAACTTAATTCCTAGATAACTTGATTCTTATCAGCAGAAGAAGGTAACAATGAAAAGGGAGCAGCCATGGAGGGTTTAGCACAGATTTGGAAGACAGAACAGCAGATCAACTGCCTCTGCATAGGCAACCCACATGCAAACAGTAGATGTACGTTTGGTTTTGGTTTCAGTTGTCTCTTCCCTCCCCTCGCTGTTTACCCAAAAGGTCTACGCATGGCAGTGAAAGATGATATTCAGGTACTTAACACTAGAATGAAGTAACAGATTTGCATAGGTCTGGGCAAAGACCTGGACGAGGTGACCTCCCAGGATCTACTCTAGGAATATATCCCCCAACCCCATCATGGCAAAACATTGCTTATTACCAGCACCACGCCCCAAAACAACTAACCTAAAATACTTCAGAAAAGATATTATATCAGCATTTACCTATTCCTTAAGTACAGTTTGGGATCTCTGTTTACCTTATTCTCAGGAGGTTTGGTTTCCTTCACATCACTGCCTTCAGCAACAGCATCTTCTTGGTCTTTTTCAGCTTTCTTCACTTTATTCTTATCGCTTTGTTTCTGCCTGGAGCTCTCAGAGACCTTGCTATGCTTCTGTTCAGCCGTCTCCTCCCTTACAGCATCCTCACTGTAAGAATGCCTGTGTTCCCTGAACTTTGCCTCTTCCTTTCTCTTGGATCTCCCAGAAAACTCCTGCCTCTGAAATTTGTCGGATTTTGACTTAGAGGCTTTTCGGTAATAGTCATCTTCCCTGCTCTTGTAGCCAGACAAAGGGTGGAGGGAGCCAGGAGAACCACTCCTTACGTATTTTTCTCTGTGCCCTCTGCCTCCTTCAATCCGTTCATCCAAGTCAAATTTGTCTAGCTGTCGGGAATAATGTTTCCTCTCGTGCACCCATACGTCAGTCCTGTCTCTCTTCTCATCCCCATTCTCTCGCCATTCTCTGCTTTCTCTTTCTTCTTCCCGTCGAGAATACGGGGACTGATCCCACGACTCTCTTCCATTTCCCCAGTCGGTCCTGCCGGTCCCCATCGGGCTGCGGGGTGAACTGCAGGAGGTAAAGCTGGGGGTGTGGGATCGGGGAGACAAGGAACGGCTTATGGGGCTGCGAGAGCGGGGCCTCTCTGTGCCATACCTGCTGCAGAGGGAAAAGACAGCTGTAACTGGCTGTAACAGCAGGCTGCTGAGAGGTCCTGTGCACTGCAAACACCTGTCTGGAATACATTCATTTGTTCTTAAAAACGTCTCCTAGATGTTTAACATTGAAAGTGTGTATGTTAATACCCTTACAGTAACCCTAGCATTAGCTAGGCTCTAGTTAGCTAGACAAAAGTGAAAATGATAAACAATTTAAAATAGATGTTTTAAGGCTCTGATTCTTCTCCCGCTTTGCTGGGAGGTCCAGAAAGTACTGATGAAGCCAGACAAATCAGAAATATACCAAACACATTTCCTCCTCTCCAGTGTTACCACAGCTCCAGCCTTTATGCTTTTCACTACGGAGGGTGGAAAGGGAAATGGCTTCATTTGTGTGTTCCTCACGTGTCAGGCATATTTTCTGAGTCATCATCATCAGTAGTAATGAGATCATTTGTCTTCTTAACAAGTACAGTTTTTCCATCTGAACTCATTACATAGGTTCTGCTCTTACTATTGTACCAACTTACATTTTTTACAGTGATTTGGAAAGCAATCCAACATCAGCAGGGCAATGAGATACACAAAGGAAGCACACAGACTATGCTCATTACACTTTACCTGTCTGCCTCACGCAGCAGGTCCCTCTCCCTCTGTGAGTGGATGTCCTGGATGATAGCAGCCACGTTCTTACCTGGTTTCTATATCAGACAAGGACACTGTTAGCATGCTGCACTGCTCTCCAAGCCATTATACAAGATTTGCCCTTTAAGAAACAGCATGCATGCATCATTTCATTACACTAATGAGAAATATTTGGTTTCAGTGTTCTGGTTATAGTCTTTTCTGCAACTGGTATCTCAATAGCATGATCAAAGCAGTAAAATGATACAAATGGAAAATTTGCTTGCAGCGCTGTCTGCTCATAACTGGCTTCTGGAAACTTGGCTTCAAAAAGCAGCTTGTACTTCCTTGATACACACTCACTGCAGAGCATATAACTGGATATAAGATGACAGAAGTCAAACCCTTTTTCTAATGCTTGAACTAAATAGATGCATCAGCCTATTGTTTCTTACCCTAGGGAGGAGCTGCCTTAACTCCATACTACAATACGGCTCTAAAAGACTATGTTCAGACATAGGAGTTACAGAAAAGCTAAGTGCAAGAAAAATGAGTGCAAGAACTGTTGATTGCTTGAGGTTCAAGATCACCTCCAAAAGATGCACGACTCCAGGCTGGACTGTGTGCAATCCATCAGCCAAATGGAGCATGCACAACTGAGCAACGTAACTATGCAGGAACTCAGAGCAGTTCAGAGTGGTAGCTCATGCATGTTCCCCTCTCATATCACTTTCATTTGTGATATTTGTTTGTTTTTAACAATGAGAAAGAGTTTTTGCTCGTGAAGAGAAAACCAATTCCATGATCTGAGAAACTGCCAATGGAACTGCTGAAAATCTTCCTGAAATCCCACTCTCCCGAGTAAGCCCAGCTCAGCCTTCATGTTAAGATGTGCAGTCTCAACCACCTTACTCTGCAGTGCCTCAGTACCACGTTAAGAATACTCTGATTCATGAATTAGCAATTCCTTAAAGTCTCCTCTTATTTGTCTTCCCTTAATGCTCATAAAACGCCTCTTAACTTGGAACACTACGAAGTTATTTTATAGAATTATTGTGCTGTGTTGGGATAATATAAGGCTTCTCAGCTCTTCGCTGCTGGTTCCAGTCCAAGTCTACATGCAGAAAGCCTATTCCTTTAGCATTGCATACAGCAGAACAGAAGCTGCCATAAATATGCTCTCAGGAGTACTGGTTTTTGGAGATCACTCAGATTTCCACATCACAAGTGTCAGATAAAGTCTACAGGAAGTCTGAAGAACAAATATTGATCTGTTCTGATTCCATGTGCATACATATGTATATACATACACACATACATACATATATATATAATAGGTTAGGTCACTGTCAAGAAAGGAAAGCTAATCAGCATGATGCTTAGTCCTGCCATCGCTGCTCAGCGCAGACTGTATTATGTCCTGAGTGTGCAAGCAGAGAAAAGCAGTGCCCTAGGCTCAATGCTTGTCTAAAAGGATGGCACTCCCTTATTTTTGCTGACATGTGCTATCTTACACATTGTTTAACTGAGCAGCATGGGCTGTTTAGGTCAGCCTTAGTTCAACCAAGCAGCTTACTGGAGAAGAAGCTTAGAAGGGATTTTTGAAGTAGTGCAATGAGAGAACCAGAGAATCGGATCTCATCTAAGAATTAAAATTAAGTATAAAAGATCATTAACATGCATTTGTTAGTTTATCTTTCTTCATTTCTTTTCCCACAGTATTAAAACATTAACTAGAAAACAGCAATCAGAAAGACATTTAGATGTATTCTCATGGACAAGGTATAGAAACTCATGAATTCTTATCAGGAATCTGATCTTACCTTCAGCTGCAACTCCTTGTATCTTTTAGACATCCTAATAAGTAACTTGTCATCGTTTATCATAGCAGGTTTTTCTTTGTAGTACTGCACCATGGCTTGTGCTGCTTCACTGTAAGCCATTTCCAGAAAGGCCTAGCACAGATGGGGAGAGCTTTAAAATCCACTACATCATTACAAAACAAAGTATTAGAGAAATAGGGATACCGAGGTGATTGCTCAGCCTCTTGTTAACTAAAAATAATGGTTACAGTCCAGCTATGAAAGCTGATGTGCAGCTTTAGTAGGTGGTTAAAAAACAAATAACTGGAATCCAATCTTTCCTGATATACAAAAACCACCTTCTTCTCACTTCCTCGCTGGGGCTTCTACAGGAGAAATAGAATGTGAGCAGCCAGAACAAAGCAAAGAACTACTACTAATAAAACAACTATATTAACTAGCATTTCTACTTGCATGAAAAATGCCACTTGATGTAACTATGGTTTAACTGTTCAAGGGAAAAACAAAACTGTACTGACTGCATTTTGAAATGTTAACATTGCTCGCTGGCATGGATTCTACTTCCCTCTGCACTGTCTGCCATGGATACATGAGAGATTTTCCAGTCTACCATGCCTACCACCACTGGTAGACATAACCCTGAAGACAGAGTTCTGCTACAGTGTGATGCAGGTTCAAAGGCACGGGCACTGTCTCACTGAGCATCTCAATATGCCTTTCTGCCTACTTACATCAACACTGGTGGCTCCAAAAGCACAATACCTGATTAGTGGATTTCATGAGGATATAGTTGGTGACCTTCCCAAACGGAAGGCCCAGGTTAATGACATCGTTCTCTGTGCAGCTTCCCTCGGGGAGGTTGCAGATGTGAACAACTCGACCCAATGTAGATTTCCTCTGGGGAAACTGGAAAAAAAGTCCAACTCAAAGCCATGTTTTATCTTAAATATTCCAACCACTAGATAAGAGCTTACATTTCTGCAAAAGAAAAAGAAACTGAAATGATCTGTTCTACACACCTGCTTTTAAGGACAAATATCCTTAATTAAAAACATCCTGATTAAAAATTTTCTTTCCCATTCATATTTTTAACTGAACTGTGGCTTGCAGTGGAGTCCCCATCCCTAGATTACCTGGAGAGGATTACTAGGAGAGATGCTCTAGTTCAAACAGGAATAGTGATATGGCTGCAGAAGGTAACTTGCCATGTCAAATCTAAGAGAGTAAGGGACTTCAGGGCCCTGGCACGTTCCAACAGAGAGCTGGGCACTCAGCACCAGAGGGAGTTTGGAGACCCTCAGTGCTCAGAGGTGTCTCTGCAATGGGGAGGTGCCAGTAAGCTCACTGCAGGCACGGTATCTGTCTGGTACACCAGCCAGCTCCAAGGCTCTTCTGCCAAGTCACGCGGCCTTCACTCTGTCCTTCTGCATCTGCCTGTCCCACTGATGGCCTTGCGCCTTCCCCACACATGAGGGCACCACATATTAGTGAGTAAAACACCCTTAACAAATACTTTGCCAGCAATGCATACACTCACGAATAAAGAAGAGTATTTTCAATCAGATGTTCACTGCAGTCCCTGCAGGATTTATGGATGTTAAAAAACAGTTTAAATGACTATGGAAGTGTTCAGGATAGCAGGGATTGAATCTAAACCCTCTTCATGCTCTCATGGAACAGATTGGGCCAGGGGTACAAAAAACAGCATTCATTCTGCAAGAGGACACCCCAGCTGTACCTGAGGTTGAAATACCTGCTGCTTTCCTCTCTCTTTGCAACACCACGTAGTCAGAGACACATTTCTCTTGAGAGCATGCTGACCACAGGGGCATGCAGAGAGGCAGAGGTCCCAAACTAGACTGGCACAGGCACATGCTGTTGGTGCAGCAGTCACTTCCCAAAGGTGGAAGTCTATTCTGGGGTATGGGGCAGTTCCCAAAGAGCTGCCCATCTCCCTGATGTGGAAAGCAGTCTCTGCCATCCTCATGCAAACAGACATCAGAGTATGCTGAGAGAGAAATATAATTTACTTCAGCTAATGACATGCAAACCTTGCTCACACAGGATTAAGTCTTCCCAGAATACTTCCCTGTTTATGACTTCCGCTGTTAGGGTTTTATTGAAGAAGTAACTCTACCTTCACTTAAAATTGTGCCATTCAAGGAAAGATGCAAATCATGTAATCTCATGGGATCAAATTCACCAGAGCCATCACAAATGTTTGGCTTGTCAGCAAGTTCACAAGTTACAGAGCTAATGTTATCTTATTTGCACCTTCATCCCATTACCTTCCCTCCAGACGTTATCCCGTAACTGCTGGTGTGTTTTTGCTGTAGTACGAGCCTGCCTCCCACAGCAGTCTGCTATTCAGTTCACAGAGACTGCCCAGGTGCATAAAGCAAATCAAACAAGTGTCACAGTCCCAAAGGAAAGTGTTTTCTCTATCACAAAAATAACAAAAACCTCATCCTGGAGAAAGATGGGAGCGACTCAGCTCCACCTGAATAGAAAAGCAGTGATGGCTGAGTGCATCTGGCAAGGCAGCATGTAGCACACAACAGGAGAACACAACATGCAGCTGGCAGGGAAAAAGAAAACCTTCCTGACAGCACAAGAACACCTCATGTCACCTGGCACCTTCTGTTTGTTTTGTCAGACCTGTTAAGAGATGGTGTGTTAAGCACATATAGGACTAGAAAGGCAGCTGTTCCCTCCCTAGGCTCCAGGGCCCAGGCTCAGACATGAACTCAGCAGTACATTAAATCAGATGACTCTAAGACGTTACCACCTCCCCAAAATTGGCAATGGCTTGAATTGAAACGTCACGTCATAAATCTGCTATAATTCACGACTAAAAAGTGGTCAGACACTCATACTGGGATCAGGTGAGCTGTACCAGACAATATCCTTCTCAGCTGATTGAAGTTAAATTGGATTCATTCACTAAATGCAAAACACAGCCAGAAAAGGAATATACAACTTCTATATCCACATTCAGGAGCCATGGTGTGTCCAGAGCAGAACGTGATTTTCACTAAGACTTCACGTTAACTTTCTTTAATGTCTACAGGGATCTACCAGCACAGTTGGACAACTGTTAGAAAAATAGTTTGTTCGAAAAATAAATGGTTGAATGAATTATTTGCTGCATAACAGTGAAGGGCATCTCATGCAGTTTGCCATATGCTTTCATCAACCTAACATATTTTTAATTGCATCTTTTTCTCCTCCCCATTTTTTTTGGATCTCTTACTTTTCAAATCCTTTATCCATTTCTTGAGCTTTTCATAACTCTTTCCTAAAGATACTAAGAAACCAGCAGTCCCATTCCTTCACTGCCAGTGGCTTTCCATGTCTGAAGGAAGGCTCGCAGCGCTCTATTTGCCTTTAGAAGAAGGGCTGAGTTATTTGCAGACAGAGAGCATGTATCAAGCTCTCCGAGAAATCTGAACACTTTGTTTATGATTACATGCAGGGTCAAGTATAATCTCCCACTGCTCAGTTAAATGGCAGCAGCTTAGCTGAAAGTGAATACTGCTGTGCAAAGGTGTAATAAATTATAAACCACCTGGGTTGCGGGGGGGGATGACAGCTGGTAAACTCTAATTTAACACCTCTAATATAGCTCCCTGACCACCTCCTGAGCTTCTGAAGAAAAAGGGGATTTGTAGTGTCCAGGAAAGCCAAAGTTATTGGTTCTTTTATCTCTCTTAGCACCGCAGGTCATTCAGAAGGACTTCTGCAGGCAGCTTAGATGACAAATAGTGACAGATTCTGAGGAGAAACGATACTGGTATTAGCAGTAATTTCATTTGTTGTGAGGTTGACAGACATGATGAAAAGGAACATTCCTCCACAGCCGCCGCGACTCCAACCTTTGACCTTGGAGGCAGCCATCGCAAGCAGCTCTGCTCTTTGCTGCCCTGCACACGTGGTGTCTGTGACAGGCAGAAGCCAAAATCCCTTCCAACAACCCCTGTCATAGCAAAACCCCACAGCACAAAATTGATTGGATTACACAAATCTGGGTGATGTTTTTGTAAGCAATGCCGGTGTGAACTGGAGCAGCACAGGGACGCAGCTCAGCCTGTCCTTCTGGAGTGCCTGAGCCGACATCAGGATGTGGACATAAAAGCTAACAAGGTGAAAACTTGAACCCCCGGATTACTGCTGCTATTCTATGAACAACCTAGCATTACTCCTCGATGTTTCCAACTCTAATAATAGCTTGCATATGATTTGCAGTTTCTTGCTTTTTTGCCCTTCTTTTAAAAGCCTTTGTTTCCCCAGTTTAAAAGCCATATTTAATGTAATATTTTTTTATGCGTGACATTTTTTGCTGAGTGGGATGGTAATTCAAGTGCACACTAGAGGAACACAACTGGAACCTGTCCTGAGTACTGGGAGGATAATAAACTGAAACCACAGAAGGTTTATGTATACTGAAGCAAACTTGTTGAAAGGTTACCAGTGGCAGCAGGCGATATAAATAGTACACGAAAATAAACTAAGAAAAAGCCAGTCCAGTATAATTAATTGAACTGAGACGCCCAAGCGAATAAGCATTAGTGGAGCTGCAGCCACTGTCTTTCCACCACTGCTACCTGGGAGGAGGCCCCCAGCAGAGAGTGATTGCTACAGATAAATAACTGAAGAGATGCAGGCCTCTCACTGGGATCAATACTTAGAGTAAGTAGAACTTAATCCAGTTTTTCAGCTGATTTTCCTGCTTCAATAAGGCTCAGAACATGGGGGGGAAAGCCACACAATACAAGAATGCAAGCCACAGAATATGGGGGAGATACACACAGAACAACCTGCCAGCCTCTTCAAATCCCTCTAACAAGCAAACAATTTCAGCACAGAAAAAAAAACAAAAACAAAAAAAAAACAAAACAAAACAAAAAAAAAAAACAAGAACAAACAAACAAAAAAAAACCACCAAAAGAACTACATCTACATTTGTTTTGATCAAAATCAAAAGCATAAAGGAGCTGCAGGTAAATTTAGATGATGGACTGAGCGTTCCCATCATTGCCTAAAAGGAAGTCTTAAAATGACAGATTTTTAATTCCAGTAAGTAGAAGAGGTTTCTGCAAGAATCTCTGCAAGGAAACCAATTTCTTAAATACTCACTCTTACCCCTGATGGAAGAGAAGGAAATGTAGCACCTGGCTGGCCAAAGGATCTTGCTGACGTAGTGATAAAAGATGAGCCGACATTTGGTGGATAATCTAAATAATGGACCACACAATTTTGTGAAAATCTTGATTCATATTATTAACGTGACTCAGTAAGCAATGCCCCATTTATGTAACAATTAATTTCATCATTTCAACACCATTGCTTCATTGTACTGTGGAAACAACTACTTGTTGGAAAGAAAAATAAATTCCTATTTTGAAAGGCAGGTTGCCTTTTAAGTCTTACTGCATACAATGCACTATTTTCCCTGGAAATCTGTATCATATGTCATTTGAAATGCCCAGTTCTGCCCAAAGACTGAAATCCCCTTTCATTAAAAATAGTTTTTTAATTATTGTACATGCAACCATTCACCTTCAATACTAGATGGATTGAAAACTGCTGCATTATTTGGTGATAAATGCAATGTTCCATCTGCTGAACTTAACACACACCGGATACCAGTGCTGGAAAAGAAAGAAACAACTTTAGGAGCATGCATGACATGTTGTAAATATCAAAGTCTAATTATTAGATTGTAAATTCCTGGTATAAAGCCACTGAAGTAAGGGATGCTTTATTAGAAATTCAATTGGAAAAGCATCTCTGAAATAATACTTACTTATCTGAAAAGGCCATACATTTTTGGATGTGAAGAGTTCCCTTTACGTGCTGATCCCAGTCCTATGTTGAAACAAAGAGACGATGAGCACAGGAAAAATCCTAAGACAAATTTCTGAAAGACTGTTTCTCTGTTCAGTTTACCTTATTCTGAAGCTAGTACTTCATGCTGAAGATCTAACTGCATGATACTGGAGCCAAGCATACTTTTCTCCAAAGCATTTACTGATTTGTTATTTGTAGACTCAGTTACCAGTTACATAACACAGAGATAGCTTCTCTGTATTAGCTTTTAAATTCTACACGTTTATTTCTATTAAATTAGGTAATTTTTTTTTGGAAAAGCTCATGCTGAAAGGCTCTGAGCATCCTCAGCTCCTGCCATGTCCATAACAAGGGTGCTCATCACACACGGCAGCAAAGACAGTGATCATTCACTTCAGTAGATAAACACATTTGTAGGAGAAGTGCATTCAGCTTTTTACATTTCTGTGGGCCAAATAGGACAGTATATTAAATACTAATAAACAGACCAACTGAAGCTCACTGTAATTACAATTACACCATTCTTATAAAATGTTTAATGAAAAACACACATGCCCAGCATGCCCGAGGTGGGGGTGAGTTCAGACCACTCCTGTAGTTGCGGCAGCCATAGAAAAGCCTCTAGCAAGCAGCTGCTCAAAGAATAAAAGGGAAACATGAAAGAGCAAATACATTCAAATCTCCCAAAGCCACAGGGCATGTATGTATCAGGCATTATTTCAGTTGCTGGCTACCTTCCTTTGTACACTCATGCTGTTGCAATATTTTTGTCAGGCCACCACTGGCATGAAAACACATGCCTTTGCAGTGAGGTGCTGGTCCTGCAATGTGATGGAAAAGGCCACCAGGACCAGTGGGACAGAGCTCACCTAGAGGGCAGAACAACGCCAGGCAAGGCCTGTGGATGGCAGCGGCTTTCTCCAGAGCTGACTTATATACCATGATCTTGCAACACAGGATTTCTGTACAACAGGCAAGTTTCTGCTCAAGGCTGATTTTGAATTTCAGGGTCTTTTGACAGTATGAATGCGGTCAAGAAAAGCTGTTAGGGCCCACAACAGATAAGATCTGGGAGCCTGGTCTGCACCCCTTATGCTGGGTAGCATCTTTCTTCCAGGCCAAAGCCACTAGGACAATGAGTTCTAATTCTTTTCTTTGAGTTACTGGAAGATGGAGGACATCCCAACAAAGAAATTACCAAAGTAATTTTATGGAAAAGTGCTATTTTGTTCAAGCGACTTTCCACAAAGCTTCTATCAGGAAGGCTTTGGGATCAGAAACAGAGACAGCCAAATGAAACTGCAGATGTGCAATTACAATACTGGCTGGAGGAGGGCGGATCAGGTTCGAGCTCCTCCTCCCCCTGATTCACCCCCATCAGAGAAGGGAATGACGCGTGCCTGGGTCTGGCATTTCTCACACCAGGACCACAGCCTCCCAGCGGCAGATTGCTGCGCACACACACTGCTCTCCACATTTTCACAGCGCAATGCGGAACAAAAACAGATCTTGAAACCCCAGCAGTTTCCACAGGAGAGATTTACAGTGCTACAAGCCCTACGAAACTGTGTTTCTCTCTGTGATAGAGGCTGACCTGGCTGACAGACTATGCTAGGACAGGCAGACAGATAAATCAACTGACCGACAGGGAAACCCCTTTGAACACCACAGATGCGCCTGGGCGCATTGAAATCGCTCACCTTCAGATCAAAGATCTTCTTGTCACAGAGGGAGCAGACATGGGGGAAGTGGAGGGGAGCCACACCATGAAGGTCGTTCAGCTCGTGGGGCTGCAGTGACCTCATGGGCAGGTCGGGCGCGCCGGCGCTCAGCTCCTCATTCTGCCTCAGCCGGGGGCTGCCGAAGCTCTGCTTGCCATTGTTGAGCCTGCCGAATGCCGGGGCAGCGGCCGTGCTAAACTTTGTGTCAGGTGTCGGTTCTTCGGGGTTGTACAGCTCGTTTCTTATTTCATACGGCTGCTGGCTTGCTGATGGCCACATGCTGTCACTGGGCAGGAGGTCAGACTTGTTTTGGCTGGAGAAATTGGGGATATTTTCCCACTGGTTGCTTGTACCTGTGCCATGTAAGATGGGGCTGGGATCTCCTTTTGGATGAGCGCTGGTGTGTGGGTCGCCGGGGAAGGCAGGCGCTGCCCCATAGGCATCTTTCTGGAACCCTGCTGGAGAGTCGTGCTTCAGCGGGCCGGCGGGGCCAAAGGGCCCCTCGTAGCGAGCTCCAACTGCCGAAGGGAAGCCGGGCTGATCCCCTTCCGAGGCGTAGCCCTGTGGGGCGCTGACATTTTGCTTGCTGTACTCATAAAAGCCCCCAGCGGCGGCAGCAGCGGAGGGGCCCACCTTGTTGAGTCCAACGACCACGGGCTGCTGGCTGGAGGTGGGAGCCATGACGCCTCCAAAGGGACTCATGACGATGGCGTTGGGGGCCTGGGCCTGCATGGGCCCCAGGCTGCCCCCTGCGCTCTGTGCGGGAAAGGCGATGCCGCCAGAGGAGAACCTTGTGCTAGCAATGGCAGGCCCTGGCGGAGGGCCACCTGCAGAGTGTCCCGGAGAAGCACCCATCACGGAGGGGTGCCTCAGCTGGTTGAAGAGCGGCTGGGACATGGCCACTTTGGAGAGCACCTGGTTGAGGACTGTGGCGGCAGCCGGGTTGTTGGTGACGGCGGTCTGAGCCAACTTCAGCCTGTGCAGTGTGAGCTGTGCCTGGAGCTGGGCCAGCTGCAGGCTGGCCGGAGAGGGGAGCAGGGGGCTCGGGGCACTGACGGAGAACGGGCTCTTCTCCAGGAGCTTGGCAGCGCTGCAAAGGATCAGGATTGGGTTAGCTGAATTCACTCGAAATCTGACTGCGCTCACCTCTTGCTACAGCCCAGCATGAGACAAGCCATCAGTGTGATAATTCACTCGTCTAAACACAGAGGGAACAAGGTGGTGGTCAGCAACGCAGTCATAATACAACACCTTCGCTTAAAACTCTGCTGCTATACCATTTTCAATCAAAAAGTTATGAGGGAGACAAGCGCATCAAAGGCCTCTCTTGAAAATTCTCATTTCACCCCTCACAGACCCCCTGGATCAGGCCTTTAGCCTTCAAGCTCCCATATAATTCATACTCATACAGCAGACCAGGAGAAGAGGCAACACGAGCAAATCTTTGTTTTTCCATTGTTCTATGCAACCTTTGCCCTTCCTGCTCTGGCACACGCTGTGCTGTTACGTTATGTTTGGTGGGACCAGCACCACCTTTTCTTACAGAGCAGGAGGAAGTGAGGAAAGGGACATCAGATGGAATTGTAAAACCAACCTGGTAAGAACTTCACAACTGGAACATAAAGCAAAATTTCTGCAGCGTAAGCTGCTGAAAATCAGGGTCTTTATACTATCTAGAAATTACAGGTGTATTGAGTGTTCTCCATTAAGTCTTAAACGTGGGGTAAATACACAGTAACTAATTGCCTGCTTGAATTCCAAAACTAAGAATATAGGAGATGACACATCGAGGTGTATGGCGGGTCCTGGCATTGGAAAGCACCTTTGGGAGATCTCTGCTCACACCACGACCGCCGCTTTCATCATATGAAACACTGCAAACATTAAATGGGGGGGAAAAAAATCCTAAATTTGTTAAGTCTAACAAATCTATATAAGCAAGTGAAATGTTATAAAGGAAAATATCAGGCAATGCTGTGCTCACCCTGCTTTTCCTGCCCCCTGCATCCTTCTACATCCAGCATCACCAATGGCAGAGCCAGCCTGGTGCGTGTGTACATACACCATCCCACGGCCGCGCTCTTTCTGCATGTCATGCTGGATACCAGCAGCCATTTTCATTCCCCCATCAGAAAAATGTTAGCCATCACTTCTTCCACCCACAGGAGCCTTTGCTCACAGATGGTACAACAACTCAACACATTACAGACGGCTGCTGGCCCTGAAAATGAGAGCAGAGAGCACCGAGTAGAAGGGATGCAGTCCAAAACTCAATTAATTTATATTGTAAAACTGTATTTGGAGTTTTGATTTAGGCCTTTCAAAGCAGCAGGGGCTACACATCAACCGCCATGCAGCGCTCACTGTTAATAATCAGCCAATTTGCTCAACTGCATGGATGAAGTTGTAGCTAATGATAAATGTCTTGTCAGCGTGCTACATTTGAAAACCACAAATTAGGAAAACATCTGCTTAAATCCAAAGTATGACTAAGAGAAAATGAATGGGTTTCGTGTTTAACATTTCACTTCCACCAGCAACTGCAAGGCACATCTGTCTCCAAAAATACAAAATGCCATTTGGATAAGTGCATCGTTATGTAATGACGAGACTGCTGTCAGCACAAGCTGACACCAGCATGCTTCTGCACTGAGGTGCCTTTTGTTTTCCTGCATGGCTTCCATCCCTACCTCTGAATCACATTTATAGTAAGGTTTCCTATAAATCTGACCACAGATGAAAGTCAGGGTGGAACTATAGCCAAAACAAGAGGGAGGCTGGGGGAATCCCAGCACGCAGGGTGCTGAGGGCCCCTCAAAGCTGCTCAGAAGCCCCATGGAGTGCAAGGGGCTTAGCAAGCAGATGATCCCACATCAGCACAGCATGCACACTGCTGTCACTGCCTGGGAATGCAGAGTGACCCCAAACTGTGCCACTAGCATCTGCACTGCACAGGACTCACCACGCTCACAGCTACTGTTTAATTTTATAGCTGCTTGTAAGTTCTGTACGTTAAGCAAGCTGCAAAACTGTTTTTAAAAGCTTTATAGAGCATGCAAATATGAACTGCCTGGTGGCCCTAAAATAAAATAGTTGACAGACAGCATGTAATGCTTTCAGGCTCAGAAGCTGCAGAGGACTGCTGTTCCCAGCAACCTACTTGTGCTGTGCTGCAAGCCCGTGGAGCAGCCTGCACATCCCCACTCTGTTGGCTGCCTGCTGGATGTGGGCATGGTCCCTCCCTGTGAATCCAATCCAATACTCCTGCAAGCCCCTGAGCTCCCCCAGACCTGCTGCACAGCTTGTACTTTGTCTGACCCCAGCATGCACACAGTCACTGCCAGAGTACCCTGGCTTACAAGCTTCTGCCCAACTCCGCAGGCTGGTGGTGGGCAGCTGGGGGCTGTCAGGAGCTACCTCACCTGGGAGAAAACTAATGTTGAAAGGAGAAGCTGCAGCCCCCCCAGCCTCTCACAGAGGGACGGAATTAGCAAAAAGGGTCATTCCCATGCACTCCTAGTTTTGGGAATGGCCCTGGCTTCAGCTGTCTGGTTTGCATTTCCAGATTTCCAGGGTACTTCAGTTGCACACTTTATCCTCCCACAGCAGAAACAGAATATTTTAGCATCTAATCAAGCCAAAGAAGGAAGGACATGCTTGTGGGGCAGTGGGAAAAGCAAACGTGCAGACGAGAGGTCAGGAAGACAGTTGTGTATAGAGCATCTCTTAGAGCAGCGCCCAAATTGAAGGATTTCTGTTACGTTACAAAATACAGGCTGTAAGAGGCGTGCAGGACTGCCATGCACAGCTTTTAAAATTTCTTCTCCTCTTTCTGTTATAGAATCATTGAATTTACACACTCAATAACACCACTTGGCAAATCATCCCACTGCAGTTTTACTAACTCACTGAAAACTGCAAACCCAATGTGAAGATGGTGTTTGGCTTCGGCATTTCGTGGGGCCATTCGCCTCTCGTACACACACAGCTCCCACCCTGGCTCGTCCTCACATTACTGACACACAGCCCCTGGCTGCTCAGGGTGGGAGATGCTGCTATACAGCCTCACTCCTCACTAAGCCTGCAGTGGACAAAGTGAGCTCTGTCCTCCTTGCAAAACGTTCCTCTTGGTGAGGTCAGCAATGTAAAAGGTTAACTGAAGCGGTTCCCTTTGTTAACCGAAAGCCCCGCACCAACTGAGTCCCTGCCCAGCTCTGGGAGCTGGGAGTTGAAGAAGTGCATCACCTGCTACAAAAGTCATAACGAAATTGCAAGCACTGGCAAGGCCGTATTGCTATCAATCAATTCTACCAATCTGCTACCCTCATAATCCTTATCATGCTTTTAGCATCCAAGAGCACTGAGCAGCACACAGGGTCGGAGGTAAAGCATCCAGACCGCTGGATTATTGGAGTAAAACCGTCTGCGAGAGCAATGAAAGGCTGAGCCCAGAACACATCGATCGCAACAGGCCAACCAGCCAGAGCATCATTCCCAAGTGACAAAATTCAGGCTGCTGGGCACCTCTGAGAACTAGGAAATAAATTATATAAAGAAAAATCACCAAACAAAACTACTGAAGTTGTGATCTCAGCTTCTTATTCAGAAATTATTTCTATCCAGAAGTATTTGAAGTGCTGAATAGGGGATTAATTTGAAGTCTTCCAAAACAGATTAATTCACTGCTGTGAATCTTGCACAACTTCTAAGATATTGTATCCCTTGCCCCACAACCCTTCTGCCTTTATGTATAGCTATACTGAGTAGTCAAAATCTCCGAAAGAAATTTGTTATTATTTTCACTACAAAATGTTTTGCAATATGTACTTTTCCCAAGGCCTTCGTACTACTGTGCTTATTTCAGAACTGAAGTAGCCAAGGATCCAAAGACATCTAAGGAAGCCAGATGTACGACTGCTCTTCAATAACCCATACTACATTTCTGACCACCTGCAACAACATGCTGTTTTGCATCCATTTAAAGTGTTTCTGAATCAATTTTCCTAACAGAAAACTTACAATTTTTAATTCGGTACCCTTGAACTCAGCAAAGAGAACTATTTTCTGATTATCCGAGCACAAAAGCAACAACACACTGTTATGCAGAAACGTGAATATCCCTTCCTTGTAATGCATCATTTATTCAAGCAGCACAGGACTGCCTTCTCGAAACTCATCCAGAGCAATTGCTGCTGCACTAAAAGTGAAACAAAAAAACTGAAGATAAACAAATCACATTCTATGTAGATGAAGCTGAAAAGACATTATGGGTACAACCACCCTCAAATAAAAAAATGCACTCTTTGTCAGCACTGCAGGGAGAGCCTGTGTTCGTACCCCAGGACACAATTTGGCTGCCTGAATTCAACGGGACTGCAAAGCTGCATTTCACACGCTGGTAGAAGAAAACACCAAGCTCAGCCATCTCAAAAGCATACGTTAGTAATCAGAATAAGTAATTATTGTAACGATGTTTTATGTCGTGTTGTTTTGCTAATCTCATTAAGAATACGGGTTTTACATTTTTGCTTGTTGAATAACAGCAGCACTTACAGCCCAGTGAAGGCTGTTGCACTGGTTAAAAATGGCCACAACCCTTTTCCTGTGCTACAGATTGCAACTGGCTGTTAACAAATGACTGTTTTCTTTCTCTGCATCTCCACAAGAAATATTTCCTTTGGTTCGTAGTGAAATGACCTTCCTGGTCAGAAAAGATGAGGAAGTCTGCTGAGAAGGGGACAGCCCTCCGCTTTCATCGTTTGAGCTCTGTCACCATCTGCAGCAGAACTTATTTTTTGGCTGAGTTTTGGTTAGAACTGATCAAAAAAAGAAGAAAAAAGATCATATTTCAGAGCAAGTTCAGCTAATGATGAGGAGCACTAAAAGCCTTAAGCCACTTTAATATGTTTATAAGCTGCAAGTAAAACCACTCTTATCCCAAGTAACGATGTTTAAAGCCCTCTATTATACTACTGAGGGACTGAGTAAAACTCCAGCCAAAGTATGCATGTACTTTGCCAAGAGAGTTTTGCATATTTTTGGCAATAGAAAACTCTATTATCTGGACAAACACCCAACCCAACAGTTAGCTGGAAGATGAAATGTAAAATGTTTTCGCAGAGCTGCTATGCTCAAGGTTTATGAAGGTGATGGGAATTAAATGCCTGACTCCTACCAAGAGTCCTTTGTGCTCATTTGAAACTTGCACACAAAACAATATTTGCCTTTGTTTATATGCAGAAAAATCAGTTTTACTGGCAAAACAACAAGACCTGGGGGCAAACACAGCAGCCACCTCTCAGATAACGACGGCAATCACGGACGCAAAGCTGGAAGTGATGCTAGGAGGACGGCTGGACTAACTCCGAGGTGGCATCAAGCTGAACTCGGTGACTCCTGACATACTCATTTAATCTGCTCTTAAGAACCTGCCTTGCTGGGATTTCTCCAACCTCCTTTTTCTGCACGTCTCACATATTGCATTTGTTTGCAATGCTCAAGTGCTTTCCTTCTCAGCAGCGCAACCCAACCCCTTTCCTGAAGCTGCTGCCCCCCTGCAAACCAGAGACATTGGTTGGGAAGAATCCCTCACACCATGCTGCTCTGACTTTCCATGGGAATGGCTGGCTCAGACCCTTCCATGTTTGATCATCCAATGGATTTTTTTGTTACCATTTCATGTTGCCCTCATCAATACTGCATCCAGGTTATGCCAGATCCGATTTGTCAGGATTACTCTGGATTCCTATGCTGCCTCCAAAGCACTTGTAAATCCTCACCTCTTGGCACTAGCTGTAGATCTAATGGGTGCTTTTTTTACCCAAGTCATCAATGAAAGTGTCAAAAATTCTTCCCAAGAAGGGAATGATGATGCACCTTCCCATTTTTCCTCTGAACACTATTACTCTAAAGACATCTCCACCTTGCAAATCTGCTTGTGTGCTGAAGAGACCACACTCTTTTCTGCTAAAAACAAATCTAAAACAACAACAACAACAACAACAATAATAATAAAAATACTGTTCTGACTTATTTAGAGCTGTGAGAGTGAAAGGCTAGATCAATCCACAGCGAGATTTCTTATTATCGATTCCTGTGGTTCTGGCAGAGATATTTTGATTAAAACACACTTACAATGAATGAAAAGAAAACAAAACATGTTTTTATTGGCTTAGCCACTTCCAAATGCCCAAGCCAATGCCATAGACAGCAATTCTCACCTGCACCATTAGAAGAATCAGGTATCTTTGAATTTTGTAGCGGTCTTTGCACTTCCCCTCCCTGTTACTGTGTATTGTTTTTCAGTATATTTTTTACAATGGAAATACATTTCTTATTTGCATGGAAGCCCAGATTGTTTATTACACTTCTTTCTGCTTTCCCTCCTGCAATGCATGTCTCCGTAAATATTTAATTAAGCAAAGTTCAACTGTTTTCAAATAAAGGATTTAACCAGCAAATGCATCACATGAACCCAAGGTTACGGGGAAGGATTTTCGGAAGCTGCTGAAGTTGCTGTTTAAATGTCCTGTTCCAGAACATTTAAGTGCTGTTTGGTTCCAATGACGTGTCAAGGTCTCTAAGGATCAGCGCGCATACAGCAGCACTGCTTTGTATTTTAAACTCCTGTACATTGCCAGACAAATTCATGTAGCTGTACTGCATCCATCTATTCGCAAATACTTCCCAAGGAAACAGTTCTTTGTTTACTGAACTTAAAGGAACACGTTAAAAAATTTTAATATTTTAAATGTGCACTAAAAATTGCCAGAAATAGCCTCAGCACCAGATCAGAGCTCCAAATCACCCGATAGAGCAAGGTCCTCGGGCGAGATAGATGCTCTCAGCTGTGCTCCCATAAGGAGGGGTTCTAAGGGTCCCCATAACATTCCTGCGCCAGCACTTGTGCCATGCCCAAGGGAAGAGACGAGCAGAGCCTGGAGCTTGCTAGAGACCAAGGGTCAGAGTGAAGAGAAAAAAAAAAAAAAAAAAAAAAAACCAAGAGAAAAGATGGCAATGTAAAGCCATAGGGATAGCAGGGAGGTTGGGACAGGCATTATGGCAAAGGCAGAGCCTGGTATCTGTGTGAGCAGCCGCAGCAGAAGCGCCTGAGCTAGGGGCAACAGCTCTGCTGCAGCTCAGTGCTCCTAGCCAGCCCTGCAAACAGCAGAAATGATGTGGAAAACTCATCACAATCAAAGGGAAAAAAGGAAAATGCAACCTAAAAACAAAATAAGCTAATATAATTAAAGTCAGAAACCCTTCAATGGTTTTTTTACACAAGGACAAATGCCAAACTGGAAGATAGTTCTTGACATATAGTGGTTCCTAGAAAAGATATTACAGTAGTATCTCGCCACACTTTCTGCCAATGTGTTTTCCACATGGCATTGTTTACCACTACAGAAATGACGATTCTGAGCATCTCGCTATCTCGCAGTGCTTGGAAGCACAGCAGTCTCCATTTGTATGTTGAAAGTAGAAAGCGTACCGTGGTAGACAGATAATGCCTCATCTGAATAAAGCCTATTTCACAGTAATAGAAGACAATATAAAAGCCCTTTTACAGAAGTAATACCTTCGGTTTGTAGACAGGAAAATGACATACAGCTGCAAAACGCTGAAGTTCTAAGAACGACTTTTTATTTCTACGTAGTTTCATTTGTGCTCGGGAAAAGGACTGTCATTTGTGGGAAAAAACAATGTTATAAATTACCTGTTTTATCCATTCATCTCGCAATATTAACTCCAATGACATATTTCAGAAGTTCAATGAAATACTGCGTTAGTAAATTATTCCTTGAGGAGAGCACTGGTGGGCGCTCCCAACGCTAGCAGTGCAGGCAGCAGAAGCCATGCACGCATCTGAGCTCCTCTCCTCGCACCCTGGGCCAGCTGAGAAGCACTGCCTGTGACTGGAAGTCATCAGGAACATAATTAACTAAGTCATCATTTTGTAATTAATCGATATTACCGCCTCCTCTGAGAGCTGTTACATGGCATGTGTCACTGGGCACGTCGGAAAGGAGCGCGCGGAGCTCACCCAGCTGGGACCAAGCAGGCTGTAAAGCCTCACCGATTGCCATGCAGCAAGAGCACTGTTCCCACATCTCTTTTCAGTTATATTTAATTTAAACACAAAACACCGAAGAAAAATGTTCTTTTTTTCTTGAGGCCTTTGAAACCAGACTTTAATACTAGGCCATAATATTCATACAGTTACACGCAAGGAATATGCAGCACATTTTGGCCTAGGAGCTTTCACTATCAGTTTTAGTATGGACATCACTCGCTTTTTCTTCAACACATCCACATTTCTGTGCTAGAGAAATTTCAACAAGAACCTTGAAAGACATGTGGAAGGTTTTATTTATTTGCCTTATATTAAAACACAACAGTTGGTATGAACCTGACCTGAGCGCGTCCCTCCTGGCAGGATGCAGCCCATGCCAGAGCTGCTGGAGCCCTTTGGCTTTTAAAAGTTAAATGTATTGTCTTGAATAATAAACTGACACTCAATCACAGCCCCCTGCAACAGAACATAAAACAGGCCACAGCCCAAACCTTGAGTGGGGACCAAAAGAGCTTCCCGCAAAGGAAACAAAATTGGGATTTACATTAAGTAATGTCACTTGCTTTATTCTCCCTTTTTGCCTGCCTTCAGCATTACTTAGCAGTAACTGACATTTAATGTGCCCCGAGCGCTACATGGTAAAATTGATTAGTACACTAAGAAGGAAAATAAGAATCATTTTTTGATGAAAACTATCAGGTTTCAGAGCAGCACATGCGGCAGCTGAGAAGACAGAAAAAGTGTGAAGGTATTAACTCGTCCTCTCCATTCAGCTGGCTATTTGTCCAGCCCTGCTGACCAAATTGTCGGTGCAGATAGGCAGCCACTGCTCTCTTGCTCAGCAGGGCATTATTTCCATACATTTTTGCTTGCTCCTTTTTTTCTGTTTTCTTTTTTTTACCATAATGCACATGCCTTGATCAGAGCAGTGATCCGTACGTGTAGGACTAAGGTAAATCGGGTTTTAATTCATCCTGCTGCCTTGCATAGTCTACATTACAGCATGTACAGATGTCCATGAAAGCTGTGATCGCTGCTGGCTTAAAAACAAAACACACCAAAGAAGTGCTGATTTTCATTAAAATTTCCTTACTTGTGTCCCATGTTTTATTTCAGAAAATAAAAATCTGTCTTAGCGTACTAATCAATTATTAATATTTCTTATTAAACATATCTATATAAAGCCATTAAAATATATAAAACCATTAATAATACCATTAATAACACGCTTTCGATTCTTTCCTTCTTTCCGCTCTAAGGAACTTTATTCACAGGCTAATGAACACATTTCCAAACTCAACCCTTGAAATATTTTGGTGTTTTGACCCCTTTTAACTTTCAGAAATAACTCTCTGCCCATTGGTTGTATATAACATCACTATAATTCTGCTTCTGGTCTCCTCGCAGAGATTTTGAAGCTTATTACAGGGTGGTTAACCATGGAAAATCGATAGGATACAATTAGGTATGGAATGCCTCTTAAAGTGTCAGAGCCCCGGTATTAGAAAAAGCAAAGCCATGTAAGAAGCTACTGTAGAAAACAGATCGGATCATTGAGTTGAAATCCAAGTTAGCTGTCACGACCAGGGCAGCAGCCGCACGCCTGTTTCACTTTGCTACGGAAACTGCCGTGCCTTAAAATCAAATTTTTAAGATGATCAAGAGCTCTCACTCATAGCACACGTCGCTGCTGGAGCCGGGAGCGTTTTGGGGTGCCTCACAGTCTTACCTTTCTGCAACATGTAGGGCTGCGGGCAGCCGCGAGCGGGTGAGCAGGAAGCGGGGCCGGGCGCCGATGTCTGCGTTACGCACATGCCTCCCCGTAACATCCCATTGACATTCTACCTGCTGTCTGCACGCCGGCTATTTACGAGCTTCCTTCCACAAAGTCACAACTTTAGGAACGAGGAGAAAAAAAAAAAAAAAAAAAAAAAAAAAAAAAAAAGGCAAGGCAACCCAGCCCAAATGAAGGAGTGGAAGGCGGTCACGTGGCCGCCGGGAGCCATTCTTGTTGCATTACACGCAGCAAGTGCGGATGGCGAACAATATCAGTTGATGTTTATGCCATATGGTCCCAGTCTCTTCACATATCAGCACCAAAATCCCACTTTTGCACAGTGTAATTCCATGGGATCCTATGGGGGACAGGGTCACAGCCTAATTAGGCGAGCTGTGGAAAACATGAGCCACGCTAACGAAGACTGAAAGACAGGGAGGGATGGACTGACACAGAACGAGCCCTTGCTCTGGAAGGCAATGAGCATTACCCAGATAAAATTATAACAATTTCACTCAATACTTCATGTTTTAACCACTAAGTGGCTGGAGGCTTCCTGCCACCCAAGGGTGGCTGGAGAAAGACTGTGGCAGTATTTGTGATAATGTTCTTGCTACACCAGTATCACAGAGACAATCAACATAAATTCAGGAAAGGAAATCCATTGCCCAGCGTTAATCCAGTGCCCCAGACACACACGAATGCGGAGCCGTGCCTGTGCTCTGCAGTGACTGAAGCAAAGCAATGGCAGCGCTGAACCCGCACAACTCATGCTTCTCAAGCTTTTTAAGACCAAGTCTTGCACCTCCCTAACATAAAGTATGCTACGTTTATATCTGGATGTCAAAATTATTGATCCTTCTCATATTTCATATTAATTTCATATTATTCAAGGATTAGTTTTTTAAAAAAAAAAAAAAATTTGACAGGAAAAATGCTATTGTTCTGCTTCTACTTATAGTATTCCATAGCACCCTTCAATCAAGAAACAAACTAGCTGTTCTCCCTTGCCTGGAGACCAAATCAAGTCATATATTCTGGTTTTTGCCCGGGGTACATGGCCCCATTAGCCAGCCAGAGCTCTCTTCACAGCAACTAATCTCGTGGGACACGGCAGCAGCTCATTAACCCTGCATGTTGCAATTAATAGCATTAGTCTTGGGAGCATTTCACAGTAGCAGGGCACTTTGTACGTGACACGATCCTTCTATGGAAGATGCCATTTCCAAAATTACTTTGCACTAAAGCAAACAGCAAACTGAATGGGCTTGTGAATGCACACATCTTACCTTTAAAAAAAACGTAATTCTGCAACGATTCACACACACACAAAAAGGAGCCCAAAGGGAGCTCTGCCCAGTTTTTCTGACCTCCTTTCTTGCCCTCTTCCTTTATTTCTTCAAGTGCTGTGTCAGAGTGCTCTTCCCACGTCTCCAAATGACAAAACAACTGCCCAAGTCTCTGCCTTTTCTCCAAACAGAAAAAAGCCATGTTTTTCAGAGGCAAAAAAAACTGTGTGAGTGGGGGAGGGCACTTAACAGGTGGCCCCAAGGGTGTCCCCTCACACATGTGACTCCCATCAGGAAACAGCAGAAAATTCTAGGGAAGAAGGCAGTATTAGTAAAACCTAGAGGGCTTTACTAAAGCCCGCTGCATCTCTGCCTCTGCAACAGACGCCCTCACTCAGTCCTCTGCATCTGTGTTGCATTAACCAGAATGAAGAAACACAAACCAACTTGCACATGAAGCTGAACTCTCCATTTCACGTAACCCTCAGGACAGCCACGTGAAGCACACATGGTGAGCTCAGCCTGGGAACCGTGTGGGACCTTCCCATCCAGGAGCAGAGCTAATCCTTACCGCTG